TAATCTGATTATATGCCTTATAATCTGATTATATGCCTTATAATCTGGTGTGTGTTATGTATTAATTCTGGTTGTGCTTACTGACCTCTGAATTAAATGTCTTTTATCTGCAATAAAGTATAACAACAGGCCTAATTAACTAAAAAAAATCTTCTTTCAGCTGTTCCCTCTTCAGGGGTCTCCACAGAGAGTCCTCCTCTGTCCTCTGTCCTCACTCCAACTACCTCCATGTCCTCTCTAACTGCATCCATATATCTCCTCTTTGTCTTTTTCCTGGCAACTACATTTCTAACATCCTTCTACCAATATACCCACTGTCCCTCCTCTGGACATGTCCAAACCACTGTCCCTCCTCTGGACATGTCCAAACCATCTCAGTGTGTCCTCTCTAACTTTATCTCCTAGTTGTTCAACCTGTGCTGTACCTCTGATGATCTCAGTCCTAATCTTCTCCATCCTTGTCTCTACTAAGGAGAACCTCAACATCTTCATTTCTGCCACTTCCAGTTCTGTCTCCTGTCTTTTTGTCCATGTCTCTGTCTCCAGACCATACAACGTAGCTGGTCTCACCACTGTTTTGTAAACTTTTCCTTTGATCTTTGCTGACACTCTTTTGTCACAAATCACTCCTGAAACTTTTCTCCATCACTCCATCCTGCCTGGACTCTCTTCTTCTCCTCTTTACCACACCCCCCATGTTCCTGGACAGTGGACCCCAAGTCCTTGAAGTCCTGCACCTTTGTGACCTCTGCTCCTCGTAGCCTCACTGTTCCACCTCCTCCCTCTCATTCACACACATGGACTCTGTCTTACTACGACTGACTTTCATTCCTCTTCTTTCAAGTGCATACCTCCACCTCTCTAAGTTCTCTTCCACCTGTTCCCTGTTCTCACCACAGATCACAATGTCATCTGCAAACATCATCGTCCACAGGGATTCCTTTCTGACCTCATCTGTTAGTCGGTCCATCACCAGAGCAAACAAGAAGGGGCTCAGAGCGGATCCTTGATGCACTCCCACCTTCATCTTGAAGCTATCGGTCACTCCTACAGAACATCTCACCACTGTCCTGCTGTCCTCATATGTGTCCTGCTGTCCTCATACATGTCCTGCTGTCCTCATACATGTCCTGCTGTCCTCATACATGTCCTGTACCAGTCTAACAAATTGACAGTATTCTGCATTTATTTTTCAGACAAAATCAGTTAAAATTTTTAAAAGGGAACATTTCACGGAATCGTTCATGTTTTAATTTTAAATTCAATCTTGAGATTATAGCCTGAACGCTGAGTCAGCCATTTTGTTTTCCTGTTTTTATTTTGTTTGTACCTTTTTATAACAATATAACTTCTTTGGTCTGCAGAGGGGGCGCCTGTTTCCTCTCGGCTCTTCAGCTGAATCTTTCTTTGTTTCCCTTTCAGTCATTTGTCTGTTTCGGCTGCATCTAAGACTTGGTTTTCTTCTTCAGATGGACAGCGCGGTGGACGATGTTTTCCTGAACGTGACTCCTCTTCACAGGCTGGAGCCGTACATCCAGACTGAACTGGACAAACTCCAAACCTCAGTAAGAACTAAGGGTTTAGTTTTTTTGACAGCTGTTTGGTAAAATAATTCCTTAAAGATAGTTTTGAATTGCTCCTGTTTCCCAGGATTCCTGTTGTGGTTTGAGAAGTTTTGAGGACTGGGAGAATCAACTTCCTGTTTCCTGCTGGTGCAAACTTCCTGTTTCTGACCCAGTCCTGAGGTATGAGAACAACAGAAAGTTTTACTTAAAAAAAAAACTTTATTTATAGTTTGTGGTTGGACTGGTCGAAGAGTCATGCACCGAAGCAGAGATTAAAGCTAGCTGCGTCGGTTTATTACGTCTTTGTTCTGGTAAAATCTGATCGATTTAATCAAACGTAAAGCACGTTTGTTTCTCCAGACACAATGAAAACGTCAAAATAAATTAAAAAACATGTAAATTTGTATTTAAAGAACAGCTCTCCTGACGGTTCTTCTTGGAGCAATCCCTGCTGTTCAGTTGTTTCTTTAGTGCCACCTTCTGGTCAGGAGGAGAACTGCAGCAGCGCTGGTACAAACAGCAACAAACACTGAAAGTGTGCTTCGCTCACATGACGGGAACTGACCAATATTACAGAGAGAGAAGGTTGAAATGGTGTTTTATTATTTATAATGTAGAAAAGTGCTGGAAGTGTTAAAGTCATGGGATCAGAGGTCGGCTGGAGAGGAAAAGATTTCACTCAGGAAAAGGATTTCATGGATTAAAGGTTCTTCTTCCAGGTCTTCAGTGGTTGATGTTTTTGTTACTTTCTGTGTGGCAGCTCTCAGATCAGGAACTCGAGCGCAGATGGTTCCTGTGTGGTGGTCGGTGGTGACCTTCACCTTCCAGAACCGCAAACATCGGATCAGCTCTGGGTCCACTCCAAGGTACACAGTCTTTCCCGCTGCACCACAGTGCCACACTCCTGTTTTTTCTAATTCAGGATTTATGCCTCAAACATCCACTCAGTAACTCTGGTGGCTTTTCATGGATGAAGGGGAAATAAGAAAGTTGACCTTTGACCTCTGTGTTTTCAGCCCTGTGGTTCAATCCTGAAGAGCTACTTGAGTTTCCCCATCAAACTCCGCATTGGGATCATTTCTACTTTAGCCACAATAACAGTAAGCTAACGTCCGCACTAATTCAGACTGATTTTTACCTCCTTTTACCGTTTTTATCTTCACTTTGACTTTAAAGTTTAAATTAACGACAAAACTGCTCAATAACAATAAATCAAAAATAAAAAACTGATGGTTTAACTCAATGTTTAGATCTCAGTATTGTTAATTATTGTTTTTATTTCTCGTTTCAATCTAAGCTCATTTAAAATTTGGGACAAAGTGTGAGGAATTTTAAATAAAACAGTTTACAGTGAGAATTGTATATAAAATTATTATAAATTTGGATTAATTATAGAAAATGTTCTTTGTGTGAAGTTTAAAAACATGTTTCTGTTTTTTTGGATTCGTAAATAATGATAAACGTTTTCTTTTTTTATTTAAAATTGCTTTAAATTAACAGAAATTTTAAATGAAACAGTTTTGTTTGTTTGAAATGATGAATATTTAACGTTCTTTTAAGGAGCCTCAGTTTGAAGCATTGTGGGTTTGAGCCCAGGGCAGCAGGAGGGTCCAGGGCAGCGGGAGGGTCCAGGGCAGCTGGAGGGTCCAG